AGCTGCCTGTCCAGAGAGTTCCACAGAGAGATGTCTGTCCAGAGAGTTCCACAGAGAGATGTCTGTCCAGAGCTGCCTGTCCAGTGAGTTCCACAGAGAGCTGTCTGTCCAGAGAGTTCTACAGAGAGCTGTCTGTCCAGAGACTTCCACAGAGAGCTGTCTTTCCAGAGAGTTCCACAGAGAGCTGTCTGTTATGAGGGAAACTATGATGTGAAGCTTTTAAAAGTCCAAAAATAAGAAGTGGATTAGGTAAATAATGGCACATCTGAGTCATATAAACTATGAAATCCCAAAATCATGTTTAATAAAACTAATACCTGGGGGAAAGGCAACCTGTAAGACAATAGGCACATTTTTGTTGTGTTCTTTTTTTTCACTATATTTTTTAGAGCAGTTTTATGTTCACAGCAAAATTGAAGAACAAGTACAGAGATTTCCAGTATACCATCTACCCCTGCACGTGGATAGCATCCCCACTCATCAACATCCTCCAAAGGAATACATCGTTACAGTCGATGAACCTGAATTGACATATCATTATCACCCAGAGTCCTTAGTGTACCTTAGGTTCACTCTTGGTGTGTACATTTCTCGTGTTTAAATAAACGTACAATGCTATATATCCACCATTATAGTGTCATACAGAATAGTTTCACTGCCTAAAAATCCTCTGTGTTCTACCCATTCATCCTTCCCTCCCTTGAAAACCACTGATCTCTTTATAGTCTCCACAGTTTTGCCTTTTTCAGAATTTTACAGGTGTAACTTTTCAGATTGACTTTCTTTAACTGTTAATATGCATCTAAGTTTCCTCCCCATCTTTTCATTGGCTGCTTCCAAGTTTTGGCAATTATGAATAGAGCTGCTGTAAACATCTGTGTGCAAATTTTTGTGTGGACCTATGTTTTCAATTCATTTTGGTAAATACCAAGGAAGCCTATTGCTGAGCTGTTGGTAAGAGTATGCTTAGCCTTGTAAAAAAAACCCGGCAAACTATCTTCCAAAGTGGCTTTATGATTTTGCATTCCCACCAGCAATAAATGAGAGTTCCCATTGCTCAATATGTGCATTTTAATTGCAATTCTGTAAGGCTCTAGAGTAGAGTAGGCAAATCCAGGCCCTGCAGTCAGAAACTCGAGTTCCAGACGCAGCTCTGCCAAGGCACAACTGGAAGAGGAAGATGATGGAAGGATCTCCCTGCATGGTGGTCATGGAGGACAAGTGAAACAGTACCTACAAGTGCATTCACAGTACCCACCACGCACGGTTAACACTCAGTAAACACAACAGTCGTTATTCTATGTGCATGTGCATGCTCATTTAGGAAAAAGTAGTCCGTGGCTAGTTTTGAAAAAAATCCAAATATCCAATATTCTGGTTCTTATTTTTCTCTTTGAGTATTTTATAGCTTTTTCAATACTTTCATTTTAGGTCCAGGGGAACATGTGCAGGTTTGTCACACAGGTAAATTGTATGTCACAGGGGTTTGGTGTACAGATTAGTTCATTACCCAGGTAATAAGCATAGTACCAGGCAGATGGCTTTTCTAGCCTCTCCCTCCTCTCACCCTCCAGCCTCAAGTCGACCCCAGTGTCTGTTGTTCCTTTCTTTGTGTCCACATGTACTCAGTGTTTAGCTCCCACTCATAAGTGAGAACATGCAGTATTTGGTTTTCTGTTCCTGCCTTAGTTTACTCAGGATAATGGTCTCCAGCTCCATCCACGTTGCTGCACAGGACACGATCCCATTCTTTGCTATGAATGTGTAGTATCCCATGGTGCATATGTACCACATTTTCTTTATCCAGTCAACCATGGATGGGCATTTAGGTTCATTCTATGTTTTTGCTATTGTGAATAGTGCTGTGATGAACATATGTGTACATGTGTCTTTATGGTAGAACAATTTCTATTCCTTTGAGTATATACCCAATAATGGTATTGCTGGATCAAATGGTAGTTCTGTTTTAAGTTCTTTGAGAAATCAACACACTGCTTTCCATAATGGTGGAACTAATATACATTCCACCAGCAGTGTATAACGCTGGGTGTCATGGTTCATGACTGTAATCCCAGCACTTTGGAAGACCGAGGTGGATTACTTAAGGCTGAGGTGGATTACTTAAGGCCAGGAGTTCGAGACCAGCCTGGGCAACATGGCAAAACCCTGTCTCTACTAAATAAATAAGCTGGGCGCAGTGGCAGGCACCTGTAATCCCAGCTACTCAGGAGGCTGAGGCACAAGGATCACTTGAACCCAGGCGGCAGAGGTTGCAGTGAGCCGAGTGCAGTGAGCACTCCAGCCTGGGTGACAGACTGAGAGTCTGCCAGAAAAAAAAAAAAAAAGAAAGAAAAAGAAACCCCTGCAACTCCAGTTACCTCTCACCATCTTCAAACACCTAAGTCCAAGTCCCCGTTCTCTCTCACCTGGACTATTTACACTGAGGTAGTGAGATGTCTTTTCTCCACCCTGTAGTTAGAGTATTCTTAATCATTGACTCCTAGGCTCAAAATTCTCCACTAAAGAAAAACAATAACTACCTCCCAGTGGCTTCCCATCTGACACTTGAATTTCCTGAATGAGATCCTAAGTCTTTACCATAGCTTATAAGGCCTTACATGGTCTACTCAGCTCTCCACGAAACCTTCCTTTATCCTTCCCTGGCCCATTGCCCACCACTTGATGATCAATAGTACAAGTGTGTTTGGAATGCAGGAGTTTTACACTTGCTTCTCCCTCTGCCCAGAACGCTCTTACTCAGCTGTCCGCATGGCTTACTCCTTCACTTCCCATGGGCGTCTGCTCAGATCTCATCTTCTCTGACCACCCCATCTAAAACAGTGCAGATGTACACACGCACCATACCAGATCCTCAATCCCTGTTTCCTTCTCCCTTTTCATAGCCTCTGCCTTGGTATTTTTATTTAGAGATGGTGCCTTCCTTGCTTTTTGCTGCATCCCTAACACCCAACACCGTATCTCACACAGACTGCTAAATTGAAGTAATCACAAGGGTCTGAAAGAGGACTCTGAGCAAGGTTGGTGTGGATGGGAACTTCTGCTCCTCAGTGCCTCAGGGATAGTGGATGCAGTTAAGGCAGGTGGCTAGGGAAGCACAGATAGTAAGGCAAGAGAGAGAAGAGTTTATCACAGACAGTACGATGTGGTTTCACCAGTGTATCACCAGCCAGGACATAACTTGGGGGAAAGGGATTAAAGAACATCCTGGTCTCATTTATTTGTGGTCAGTTGTGCCTACAGATAAATCGAATAAACTCATCAGCTGTGTCAACTGAGTGGCATATAGAACAGAAAGGTGCCTCATCCTAAGCTTTTGAAAGGCTTTCTTCTACCTACTAAGTATATTATTAATAGCAAGTACATTTTACTTTGTTTTTCAATCTGGGATCGATAAAGCAGATTCCTCCAAAAACGATTGAGAGTCATGGGCATTCTGCAAGGTTCTGGGGTCTCGGAAAGAAAGACAGCATTACAGTATCTTTTTCTTTTTGAGTTTACATTGAGGAGCTTTGGATGTCATTTTCAGCTTCATCAGTGACTCAGTCATTCTTTGAATCAATCACTCAACCTTTTAGCCACAAAGCTTCCTCATTTGTAAGAGGAGAATAATGAGAGCTGCCACAGGCAAGCTCCCAGAGAGTCATGGGGATCCCTCTTTATTCACTGTGCTCTGGATTTCTGGGAGGAAAATCCCTGGGGGCCGGCTAAGTACAGACCTGCAGAGAGGGAGATAAGATGTCTCAGTGTCTGGAGAAGATTCATAGCAAAGCCAAGTCAGGAGGATTAGGGAACGGCATAGGTACTCCCTTAGGAAACCAGGGCTAAGGAAGAACATCCCAAGTGTTGTTCCTTTCTCTTCTTCTTCATGCTCTAATATTTTTAAGCCAAAGAGAAGAAATTAGGTTAAGATGAATAGCAGGGGGAGTTTTGAAAGTGAAAATGCACCTCCAATTGGTAGATGAAGCCTGAGGTTCCAGTGGCAAGTGTGGGCAGGAAGATGGAGAAGCTATGAGCTGGAAGGTTTCCTATAATCGTCTGGGAGAGGGCCCTTTTTCCTGCTCCTTATACTGCTTCCCAAACTGCCTGACCTCAACTTTGCTATAGGACTTCTTTTTTTTTTTGAGACGGAGTTTCACTCATGTTACCCAGGCTGGAGTGCAATGGTGAGATCTCGGCTCACCGCAACCTCCACCTCCTGGGTTCAGGCAATTCTCCTGCCTCAGCCTCCTCAGTAGCTGTGATTACAGGCACGCACCACCATGCCCAGCTAATTTTTTGTATTTTTAGTAGAGACGGGGTTTCACCATGTTAACCAGGATGGTCTCGATCTCTTGACCTCGTGATCCACCCGCCTCGGCCTCCCAAAGTGCTGGGATTACAGGCTTGAGCCACTGCGCCCGGCCAGGACTTCTTAAAGAAATTATTTTAAATGATTTAATGGACTTTATATGACATTGATTTTCAAAGTACTTGTATAAGCATTAGCTCTTTTGATTTTCACAAATCCTCACTTTGAGCAAAAGCCATTGCCATCAGCATTAATTTACTGATGAAGACACTGAGTCTTAGAAAGATGAAATGACTTACTTGAGCCCATATGGCCAACAGGTGATCCAGCCAGTGGAAAGCTGGATCTTCCAACGATGAGTCCTATATTCTCTTGATACAAAAATGTCACGAACCACACAGGGAGATGGTGCTCAAACTTCCTAGTCATCTTTGTGATCTTACTCCCTTTCTTGGCATGTTCTGCCACACTGAAGATCTGGTTTCTTCTGCAGTTCACAATTACAATCACGGTGCTTTATCCTTTCTCTTATGAGCCCCAGAGCCTGCTGGGCTACTCTTTGAGTAACCAGTACAAAACCACTTACATTATTATTTTTTCTTATTCACCCCCACCAAAGATCCAATGGACAGAGGCTGGGAGCCTCTTCCTGGAACATTTATCAACGATCACAAGGAGCCCAGTTTCTCATAATATTTTTAATGCTTCCTTTTCACAGGCATACGATACTACATAGGCTTTCTAAATAGCTGATTCATTCCCGCCAAAGTGCATTCATCCTCTGCTCTGTAATTTAGTTTCTGCCATTTGACATTCATGCATACATGTAATTTCCTCTGCCTGCATTCAGAATTAGGAGACGTGTGAGCCAGGTTTGAAAGTCGGATTGCATTACACACAGCTGGTACCTCCATGTGCCTCAGTCAGTGATAAATATTTTTTCATATATCAAAACAATACATAACACTAGTTGTGCCTTGTGTTTATAGAGGGCCCTTCTGCTTGTCAGAGTACTCATATATTCACTGTGCTTCATTTATCTTCAGAGGATTTTTTTATTGCATGTTTCATAGGGGCCCATGAATGTAAATAATATAAATGTTCTTATACAGGCAGATATATGTTTAAGCATGTTTTTAAACTTAATATGCTTTCATTTCAGTTTAACTTTTTTTCCTGTATTTCTTGGCTTTTCTCAGACTGTCTTAGGTCTCCTGCCTGCAGGCTGGAGTCTCAGAGGGTCCCAGGGCAATGTGACCTCCCACTGACTTGTGACCTATTTTTTTCCTTATTCCATTTCACTATCATGTCTCAGTGGAGACATAACAACAGTCTTTCTGGGACCTAGATTTGGCAAAGGAAGATGGAATCCTCACCGTCTATCCTTCCCAGACCCCTTTGGCAAAATTTATCTCTCTTTCTCTCTCTCTGTAGTCAATTCATTCAACAATTTTTGTTGATCGTTAAGTGTGGTTCTTAAGTCATAGTTAAAACAGGCCATATCTCTGCTTTCATGAAGTTAATATTCTGGTCAGACGCTGTTTGGCTATAGCCAAATGAAACCCACTCAAAGCAACTTATGCAAAAGAAGATCATTGTTGAAAGGGGTATTTCCTGCAATTCAAGGACACAAGTAAAATCAGTACTCATGAAGAGCTAAAACCTGAAATTGGGAAGGTACTGGAGACAAAGCAATGACTCTCTTGCCCTCTGCTCCTTTTGCTGGAGCCTCCTGGGCTTTATGTCTTCTCTTTTGGAGGGTGTACAGCAGAATATAACATCATTCTGCTTTCCATAGACGCTTTATCTACTCAAGTTACGTGGTCAAAACGTTGCTTAGGCTCAAGTTCCTGTAACGTCCTAGCTGAATCTGAATTGCCGGTTCTCATGATTGATCCTGTCCACCCAATAGGCTGCACCAAGTGCATGGTGCTGCTTACATGCTTTATGGATTGACAATTTCAAATTGCCATTCAGGTTTTAAGCTTTGGGAACTTTTTAATAATAGATTGTGTTCTGGCAGCTCCATCAAACAAAGCATCAGCTGAAGATGCACCAAAAAATGTCTAGAAAGACCTATGTAAAGGTCAATTAGAAAGATTCTGTTTATAGTCATCCAATGAGGTAGCTTTAATCAAATTTAGAGTCTTTTTTAGGATTGTCTAGTATGCTGTGGAATTAATGCACCAACTATTGTCATTCTTATTTCATATCCATAATGACTACTTTTATTTATATAGAGAATTGCACAGTGTTAAATAGCATCATTTGATTTAGGGTACTCTAACGTGTAAGAATGCGAGTGGGAAACTAAAGCTTTAGTAACCAAGAAGCTATTTACTTACGCTTTTTGTAGTGCCCTGTGAAGCACAGAAATTATCTGAAAAATTAAGTGTACTTCTTTTTTCCTAGCATTAGGAAGTTGTGTGAGCCTTTTCCCATCCACTAAAATCTTAATGGAATTTAAGCTAATATACATTTTTCAAGGTCATTTGTAAGTTTTAGAATTCAGGAAAAGGATCTTAGGTTTCTGATGGTTTCATTAGGAAGTTGTTCTGGCTACCTAAGACGGGTATTTTCGAGACAGCTAAGGGATAGCTATATGTGCATCAAAGAACACATTTTCTTTTCAAAAGGGCTGCAGCAGGTCAGTTTCTAAATATAAAGTGAAAATTATCAAATTATCTCTCTTCTGACAGTAACGTAATGAAATGAAACACATTTATTGTAAAGAAATCCATAGATCCTCAGGAAGATCTACAAAAGCAGGTCACACAGGGCTCCTTTTATTTATTTACTTATTTTTTACATTCTAGCTCTGGCTGCCCTGATTCTGGACCTTTGGATGTCTAATTTAGGGCTTCATAAGAGGCTTTTCTCTAAGGGAACGGGCTGAGTTCCCTAACTCCTGCAAGGACGTCTGGAATCACCTTGTGTGGTCCTGACCTATACTTCTCATTTCAGCTCATCCTCTACATCGTACCTGGCCTGACGGGCTGTGAACTCTCTGAAATTAAAAAGAATTTTAATACAGGCAATTTTGCCATTTGTACTTTCTAATATCTAAGACATTCTTTGGTTGGCAATCATCTTACTTGAAATGGAAAAAAAAAAGATGTACTAGCAACTGTGAACGTCAATTTTAGAATGTTCAATTAAAATAGAAGTAAAGACAGCACTTAGTATATACTAGGCAATTTACTCATACTTTTTGAATAATTCAAATAATAAACGATTCTTTACCTTGAAACCATGGAAAACCCTGTTGTTAGGCACTTCGACAGCAAATTGGTGTTAGACCACTTTCAGTGGTCATCCTAATTCATCCTTATCTGTGGGAGAACCGTGTATTCATAGACTACATATAATTTATAAAGCATACTTTGACAGTGCTAAGAATCCAGCCGGGACCCAGTACACCCTCAAGAATCTCTAGGTATAGGTGTACGTATAGATATAGGTGTGGTATAGGTATAATATAGGCATAGGTGTGGACAAAGGTATAGTTGTAGGTGTGTAGATATAGGTATATGTGTAGGTATAGGTATGCATGTGGGTGTAGATTTAAGCATCAGTATATAGGTCTAGGTATAATATAGGTATAGGTGTAGGCATAATATAGGCATAACTGTAGTGTAGGTATAGATACAATATAGGTGAGGTATAGGCACTGGCATAGGTAAGAATATGGTCCTTTTCTGTAACCTGTTTTTACCAATGTTATTACTTTTCAGGAGTCATGCAGAACTAGAAAATCACCCACACTCATGTAAGGTCAGGATTAACAAAGTCCGACACAGCTTTCAGCTGCTGAATTTTAGAGGCGATGCTGAATTTCAAATTGCATATAAGTGGCAGCTGGCTCTTTTGCAGGTTTATATAAAATTTTGTCTGCTGCCACTGCCTTCCTATTAACTTCTTAAAAAACATAAAGACCATTGAATGAGATAATTAGTTATGGGGCTGGGATAGAATCAGTCCTATCGATCCATATAGCTTTGGAAGATAGTAAGTACCTGTTTCCTAGAAAAGATTTGGAAGCTTGATGAATAAGAATATCCAGAATTTTTTTAAAAATCAAGACTCTGAATCTCTAAACCATGAAGGAAGTCCATTTTCTTTTATTTTAAGACAGTGGGTGTGGAGGTTCAGAATGAACATGAAGTTCTTATTCTAATACCTTTGCCCCGATGCCCCCTCTTGTCAAATACAGTAATGAGGTGGCATTCATTTTGCTTTACGACTTTACAAATGTTTGGCTTGAGCCACTAGTGACACTATGCCAACATAATTTATCAGCCTCTGAAACAAATACGTTAGCCTTCTCATTCTCAAGCCCGCCTTACTCTACTATCTGGTCACTTTTTATCTTGCATTTGTTCTATGTGTCATTATCGGCCAAGATAGCAATTGTTTCACAGCATATTATACTGACTGGTCAATCCCATGAGTACTAGAGCTTTTGCGTTTCTGTAGAGGTATCAGTTTCTTCTCAAATGGAAAATGCTTACTTGTCCCACCTTGGATTACAGTGGATAAAACTTTATAAAAATGTTATTCCCCTTCCAATGGATTTAAACTATGTGCATTTGTAGAAAACTTCTCTCACCAGACTCAGAATATCCCAATGGTTTGAGAGAGAGGGTTTTCAGGATGGCAGCAACTGCATACTAAGCATAAGAAAAGCAAATTTGTCTATAATGTCTTTATTTCAGTTAGATTCTTGCCATCAAGTTGAGCAAGTCTGCCAAAACCTCCTATTTAAAAAATGCAGATGTGAAATTGTATAAACTATTGCTTTTTATTTCCTAAAACTGAAGGATCTCAAACACGCACCCTGAGAGGCAAGAACTAGTTTTGTTTTATTGTTGTATTTTGACTGCCTAGGCTTGGAACCAAGCAGACACTTAAATGTCTGCTGAATACATGGGTGTCTGGCTGCGGAGGAGGGGGACAAACAGAAGACCCCACCTGACCTGGATTCATTTGCTGTAGATGGGTAATTAGGAGTTGTACAAATAATATTCCTAAATGTGTAAAATTTATCAGTCCATGTTCTTATGCATAAACTGGCTGAGGTTTTGCATTGACAGAACTGGGCCATCCCCAGGATACACTGCCTCAGTGGCCATATGTAAATGAGAACATGCAATGTTTATGCCAGAAGGTGTTACTGCTTTCTGAAGTGTCAGTCCATGGGAAAGCCTTAGAAGGGAGAGATCCCGCTCAAAGTCTGTGATGGGCTGGGACTTAGCTTGATTCTCTGTCCAGCGGGAGAGTCAGAGGCAGAAGGAATGGTAGAGAATGAACGTTGATCAAAATCAGAAAGAGCACAGACCAAATGAGATATGCATGGGCTATTTCTGGGGCTCATTGCCTCCAGCTTGTCCTGCCTTATGCTGTATTCAGGCAGGGGATGGAACATAGGGAGGAAACGCCGTCTTGGCCTCCAGCCTTCCAAAAACCAGGGAGAGTAGGGTATGACAGAGGGAAGCACAGGGAGTAGAAAGAACACAAATCGAATGCATTTGCTGGATTTCACCTGCTTTGTTGAAGAGTTTTGTATGCAGAAACAGAAACTGTTTTGAAAATGGAGCATTTGGGTGACATGAAAATTTTAGTCGCTATGCTATGCCTTTTCCTTCCTATGTAAATATTCTCTTCCTTCCTAAGATCCATGGTAGTAAAAGAAAATATTACTAAAACTTTTCTCCACTGTGGAAGCCAAATGCGAATTGGTGGCTACATGCCACTGTGTTGTTTTTCTGAGATGCTTCTTTACAAAGATGATGGATTTAATACCATTTATCTACATAGATGGCAGGGAAACCACGCTTTTTTTTTTTTTTTTTTTTTTTGTAATCTTCGTCTATAATTTCTACTGGGTTTATTTTTATAGCTACAATTAAAGTACCAATAGAATATTATCCAACCCCATAATTTTTCCGACTAACCATTGTGAAAAATGAAAGGCTAGCAGTTCTGTAATGTTTCTTTTCTAGCACTGCATAGATTGTGTCTTGTTCCAAGATTCTTACCTTAAAGATTTATGGTGAACTTTAATGCAGACAGCAAGTCACTTTTTATTTAGAGAAGATCAAAGCCAAGGAGGCAAAGGGGTTATTGTTTTTGTGACCGTGTTGTGTTCGGAGGGGGTCTCTCACAGATTATCTCGTATTTATATTTTCCTTTTTTTTTTTTTTGAGACAGGGTCTCACTCTGTTGCCCAGGCTGGGATACAGTGGCACGATCACAGCTTACTGCAGCCTCAACCTCCCATGCTGAAGCAATCCTCCCATGTCAACCTGCCAAGTAGCTGGGACGATAGGTGCCCATCAGCATGCCTTGGTAATTTTTGTATTTCTTGTAGAGATAGGGTTTTGCCACATTGCCCAGGCTGGTCTCGAAGTCCTGAGTGTAAGCACGTCACCTGCCTGGGCCCCCAGAGTGCTGGGATTATAGGCATGAGCCATTGTGCCTGGCCCGTCACCTCTTTTCTTGTACACCTTGCCTCTCCTCTCTGTCTTGTGCTTGGTCATATTTTTCTCTTCAACAAATGAGAGAGTGAGAGTACTTCCTGTAGTGAAGTCATTATATTGGCATAAATTAAATTTTTTGGTTGAGTCTTTCTTTCTCCCTGTGTTATGTCAAAAAGAGAGAGAGAGAGAGATAAGGTATGCTCTTTCTGTTCTCACAGCCCTTCACTTCCTTCCCTAATGAGAAAAATGATTATTCACTTGTATGGTGCTGTGAGAATGGACCTGAACAAATTTTAAGCACACTGGAACTGTTTGTTCCAAGCAAATAATCACTGTATGTAATCCTGTCACTATCTGTGCTCTCTTATCCATGGCCCACGGTTGTCATGGATTGGGTGTGTGGCAGTTCAGAGGGTACAGGATAAAGCACAAACTTCAAGTGCTTTTCTTTTTCCAGGCAGAATCTATAAATGGCCCTTTTTCAGTGTCTTGCTAAAAATCTCAAGGAACTCGTGACCCTTTTTTAAACTAGAAAGGAATGTTCACAGTTTGATAAAGGAAGCATCCATCTCAGAACTGCACGTAGACAATCTCATTCCTGGTGCTGGAAAGGCACCGGGCCACTGGGCAGAGGCTCAGGTTGTGCCTGGAGGCTGGGGAGGGACATGCCAAACTGTTTCAGGAACCCTAGAAGCACATGCTGTCTAGAGCCAGCCTGTCATCTCACCTCCCCATGCGGGGGTGGCCTCTGCCTCAGGGAGCAAAGCCCAGGCTCAACCTGATTTCCCACCGGTTCCAATTGACATATTTGTAGGTTAAAAACTTCCTGACTACCTAAGGCTCCTCTTTCGACTTCTCCCCACCGGCCCCAATAGTAAAAGATTTTCTCTACTCATGAATTATATTTCTGAAGTCATAATACACTTTCTCTATTAGCCGATGTCACACACGACAACCAAGTTGAACCTCTGGATGCTGTGAAAGAATCAGCATTACCACACCCAGTGTGTTAAATTTAAGCTAAAGCCAAGCAAAACAAATAGGCTTTTAATTATCCTGCACAACTTCCTTGAGTGTCAATGCAAAATTTCCGATAAATATCTAGATGTCTCCACGATTACATTCATGAGCTTTTCAGAGGAAACTCTGACCTTTGCACATGTTCTCTTTACTGGCTCTGGGTAGCAGAGTGCCAGGGGTTTTGAAATCTGTCAGACCTGACTTAGAATCTTACTAGCGGTGTGACCTTAGGTAAGTTATTTTACTTCTCAGAGCCTATAGTCAGAAATGAAGAGAAAACACAGCGAGTGCCTACACTATATAAAGAGCAGTCAATGAATGCAGCATTTTAAAAATTAGCTATTTACTGCCTGCTAGCTACCATCATCGTTTCCCGTACAATTTCCAGCATTTATCCCAACAATTTTTTATTTTCATCCAATTACCAAATTAATATAATAAATAATTTAGGATGTGGATCCAAGATGGCCATTTAGGAACAGCTCAGGATTGCAGCTCCCAGTGAAAGCGCAGAGGGTGAGTGGACGCCGCATTTTTATTGCCCACAGACTAGGAAATTCCCAGGCGGAGGAGCTCCACAGGTCACCAGCGCGGCTGTTTCGGCCAGCGCGGCTGTGCTGGCTGGCGACGCTGCTTTGCCCCGCGTGGCTGCTTTGTCGGCGCCCCAGAGCAGCGGTTCTCCGTACAAAATACACCGGTCTAGGTGCCCTTTTGGCTGGCAATTGGAGCCACGGGAAGTCGCCCATTCATCTGTTTAAAAAGGGGACTGAGCAGGGAACCAGGACAGTAGATTCCAGGGGGAAAAAAAAAAAAAGCGCCACAAACCGCAGTGCCTCTGTTTAAGCCAGCGCAGTGAGTGGCCGCAGGGGAAAACAAACAGACCCCGGCGCCTCTTCAACAGGCGACTGGAACACCAACTTAAAAAAGGCTCTGGGCCGGGCGTGGTGGCTCACGCCTGTAATCCCAGCGCTTTGGGAGGCCAAGGCGGGTGTATCATGAGGTCAAGAGATCGAGACCATCCTGGTCAACATGGTGAAACCCCGTCTCTACTAAAACTACAAAAAATTAGCTGGGCATGGTGGCACGTGCCTGTAATCCCAGCTACTCAGGAGGCTGAGGCAGGAGAATTGCCTGAACCCAGGAGGCGGAGGTTGCTGTGAGCCGAGATCACGCCAACTTTGTCTCAAAAAAAAAAAAAAGAAAAGAAAAAAAAGGCTCTCAGGCAGGGAGCTAGGCAATCAGGCTCGGCTGGTCCCACCCCCACAAAAGAACAGCAATGAGAAACTCTGGATTGAGAGTTTCGCAGCAAGCGCAGCTGAACCCAGGACAGTCCAGCTCTGTGGGGGAGGGATGTCCGCCATTACCGAGGCAGCCCGTCACAACGGAGGTAGTTGGCCAATGCTGAGGCAGCCCGCCGTTGCCAAGGCAACCTGCCATTGCTGAGGCAGCCCGCTGTTGCCAAGGCAACCCGCCACAGCAGAGAGACTCCGCCTCAACAGAGGCGGGCCACCATCGCCAAAGCAGTTCTAACTACACCCACATAAACAG